AGGAAAATGGACAGAGAAGGGATTATGGGTGGCCATCTCCCCTAAGGGGATTGTTTCTCACTCTCTGTCTCTCTGTCTTTCTGGTGAGCACACACACACCCTATAGCAAAAATCTCTCAAAAAAATAATTATTATGTATCTATTTATTTATTTATTATTTCAAAATTTGCTATAGGACATGTGTGTTCCTGAGAGAGAGAGAAAGAGACTGAGAATGCAAGACACTAGGTCCAGGACTTGGACTGCAGTCTGCCATGTGGGAGTCCAGCACCTTAACCATCACACCACCTGTTGGCCCATGATTTCTCCTTTTAAAGCAAATTCCTTCATGCAAGCTGTCAAAGCTCATAGCAGGGCAATCATACATATAACAGATGTCTCTGTTTTATTCTGGGGTTGGTCCAAAGCCAGGTAAAGTTCTAATGTGTGAAAAGCTTCAAAATTCTACCTTAAAGAAGTCCAATGTCAATATAAATTTCCAAGCACTTTTTTAAAAATTGTTTAATTTTCATGTAAGTACCAGAACTCTCAAAATTAGACAGTCATTTCAAACAACACTAATTTCAGATGATCCATTTTATTTAGAAGCCCTGCATCTCTTTGTTCTCACCAAAACAAAGCCATATTTCAGCTAATTAAAAGAATTCTACCAGGGCCGGCAGGTGGCATGGTGGTTGAGGGCAGTGGACTCCCACATTGCTGACTGAGGTTCAAGTCCTAAACCTGGTGATTTGCTTTCTCACTTTCTCTCTCATTCACTCACTCTGTTCCTCTCTGGTCAAATTAAAATAAGTAAATGAATAAATAAAGTTAAATTAAATAATTCTTAAATAGGAAAAGAAAAGAAAAGAGAATTCTATCTAAAGTATAGTTTTTTTTTTAAATAACAAATAAATATTTTGCTAGCATGGAAAGACCTGGGGACCCAAAGTTGTATACCAACTCTCATTATCATTCCATCAATATCCTCATGCTTCCTATTGTGGAATCAATCAATTCTTCAATCTCAGCATTTAATTTATTTAATTCCATTGCTTCTCTAGCTTTGTTAGCATTTGAAGATATTGTACTTCTAGGTAACTACTGAGGCTGACTCCTTTCACAGCAATGATGACTTCTTGAGTCAAAACAGTTTTTTCTGGGTCCTGAGAATGTGGTTTGTATATAAATCTCTCATCTATGGAAACCATGTTTATAAATTAAATATTCATAAATTTAAGTTCCATCATTCTTCCTTCAGGATCAACCACAGAATGTTCCTGCACATACGTCTTGGTCCTTACTGTACCAATAACAGACTTCACAATGGAAGGCAGTCCTCACTCTGTGCTGAGCAGTCAATGGCTATCCAACTTTCCAGAGAGATCACTGTGTTTGTCCAACACATCAACTCTAACCACATTGGGGTTCATAAGATTGGGTATTTCTGCATTGCAGCTGTTGTAACTGTCACCCGTGGGTGGTCAGAAACATGCTCCAAGGTCCAGATCTTCATGGTGCCCATGGCCGTGCAAGTACAGCGCACCAAGGGACAAGGAAGCAAAGGGCTGTTCTATTTTATTATTAAGTATGTGGTTAATCTCTCATTGTGCCTAACTTATAAATTAACCTTATCCTAAGTATGTATGTATGTATAGCAAAAACACATGCTTTACATAGGATTTGGTACTATATGTAGTTTCTGTCATCCATTGGAAGTCTTGGAACATATTCCCCACAGAAAAGGAAGCCTACTATACATATGGGTTTTATATAAATAAAATACTTTCTAATAAAACATTTACTCCATTATCAATAATGCTAACCTCAGAAATGGGGGAAGAGGAGTAAAGAAAAAAAATGGGCTATAATTTTCCTTCTACATTTTTGTGTTCTCTGAAATTACAGTAAAAATGTATCACCTTTGAAATTTAAAAATAATAATTTTTATTAAAAAGCTTATCTTTGAAACAATAAGACATAAGAGGAAACAAAGCACTGTCCATATGAAAATAAACAGAGAAAGCCACATCAAATCACTTGACCAGAAAGCAAGAACATAAAATATCAAATCTATCCTTTTTTTTTTTTTTTTTTTAGAGAGGTTTTTGCTATTGGGTGTGTGCACTCGCCTGAAAGACAGAGAGAGACAGAGACAAAAAGTGAAAAATCACCCCCTGGGGGGATGGCCACACCACAATCCCTTCTCCTCCATTCTCGTCTTGGGATCTTGGGCACGCACACAGACACACCCAGCATGAGTTTAAGTCACTGGGTCCTAGACTCGAACCACGGTCGACTACATGGAAGTCCAGCAACATAGCCATTACGACAACTGCTGGTCCCAATATCTATCCATTTTAAATAATAGTTTAAGTTCATTGTAAATAGGTAAAATGAACGAAGACACTTAAATTGGTTTCAGTAATAAAATCAGATACACTGGCCTCTGCATGCTCCTGCTTCGTCTGCTCTGACTTGCTATGTGATCAACTGGGAAGAAAATCCTTAGTAGATATAGCCCCTGAACCTTACACCTCCAAAACATGAGCTACATTAATTTCTATTGTATGAATAATAATAATAATGTCACATCTATTTATGAGAATTTAACCTAAACAACACTATTAGATCCAAAAAAGGGAACTATTTAACAGATCAACACAAAAAGTAATATTCATATTGAAGTAGCACTAAACAAAAGAATAAAATAGGACAGTTAATAATAAAAATAAACTTGTTATTTTCATTTCATCGTGCCATAAACTTTTGAAATCTTATCTGTGTGTGTGTGTGTGTGTGTGTGTGTGTGTGTGTGTAGAGAGAGAGACTACATAACTAAGAAACAAAGATGAGAAACAGGGAAAAATTGACAGACACATAGAACATATTGAATATCCTTTATCTGAGATAGTTGGGATCAAGAGTGTTTCCAATTTCAGGGATTTGGGGAGATTTTGAAGTATTGTCCTATACATAACAAGATATCCTGGGGACAAAACCAGGTCTAAACACACAATTAATTTATGTTTTGCATACACCTTACAAACATAAGTAATAAATAACATAGCTGTATTTTGACTGTGACTGACCACATAAGGCCAGAAATGGAATTTTCCACTGAGGTGTCATGTCTATGTTCAAAAAGGTTCAGATAGGGACCAGCAGTTAATGAAATGGCCATGTTGCTGGACTCCCACATAGTCGACCGCAGTTTGAGTCCTGGACCCAGTGGCTTAAAACACACCAAGCACGTGTGCATGCGTGCTCAAGATCCCGAGAGGAGAATGGAGGAGGATTGCGGCGTGGCCATCCCCCGGGGAAGGGATTTCTTGCTTTCTGTCTCTCTGCCTCTCTCTATCTGTCTGGCGAGCACACGCGCCCTATAGCAAAAACCTCTCTAGAAACAAAACAAAAAAAAGTTCAGATATTAGAGCACTTTGGATTTCTGATTTTTAGGTTGGGAATGCTCAACCTTTAGTAATTGGAAAACTCATTGAACCTTTGACAGATAAATACAGATAAAATAAAAGTAGGCATATTATCTATACAGTATTATGAATGAAGTGGAAAAAAATTTTTTTAGATATTTTTATTATAGGGTGCATGGGCTTGCCAGAGAGACAGAGAGATAGAAAGCAAGAAATAACTCCCCAGGGGGTCAGCCATGCCACAATTCCTTCTCCTCCATCCTACTCTCAGGATTTTGGGCACGCATGCCACATGTGCCTGGCATGAGTTCTAAGCCACCAGGTCTGGGACTCAAACTGCGGTGGACCACGTGGGAGTCCAGCAATGTAGCCATTACACCATCTGCTAGTCCCCTGAAGTTAGAAATATATTAACACATTACAAAAACTAAATATTGAACCTTACATACACACGTTACCTATTTTCCTAGAAAAATTTGAATACTGAATAAAACAAAATAAATAAATAACCTACTTCAATCAGGCCAAAAAAATCCTTCACAAATTTCAAAAAGGGAGAATGTTCATGATATATTGTTAAGATAAAAGTACATTACGAAATAATATGAATTAGAATATCATTTCATTTTTAAAAATAATATATATAACCTCAGAAAAACAGGAAGGTAAACAAAATGCCTTTTTACAATATGCCAAAGGAAATGCATGTGCCAGAGAGAGGCAGAGAGATAAAGCAAGAAAGCACCATTTATGGGGGAACGGTCATGTCATAATCCCTTTTCATCCATTTCGCCCTCGTTTTGGGATTTTAGCCATGCATACACATGTTCCCATTGCATTTTTCAAGCCTCCAGGTCCATAATTGCAACCTCGTCATTCATGTAAGATCTAGCTCCCTTAAACACTAGGCCAAGGAGCTAACCCCAAATTACCTTTTTTATGTTTTGTTGTTGTTGTTTTTAGATTTTTGCCATAGGATGTATGTGCTCACAGGTGAAAGAAAGAGACGAGAGGAAAAGTGAGAAGTTACCCCCCAGGGCAGATGGCCACACACAATCCCTTCTCTACTCTCCTCTCATGATCCTGGGCATGCATGCACACATGCTCAGAATGACTGTCAAGCTGCTGGGTACAGGACTTGAACCACAGTGGGTTAAATGGGAATCCAGTGCCTAACCACCACACCACCAGCTGCCCCCCCCAAAATATCTTTTTCAACAGTAGTTGTTTATCTTCAGGAAACAGGATTATGGTTATTTTTATCTTCTCCTTTTACAGATCTTTATTTTTTAGATTTTCATTAATTATAACACATCACCTTTATCAAATTAACTTACTTTTTAAAACCACATTGTAATCTAAATACTATATTTTAAATTATAAATACCCAAATCAATGCTGTACTTTTTTTAAAAAAGTCACAGATCTAAATGCCTATTTTAAGAATGCAGAAAAATAAACAATACTTTCTAATACTCCGTATGACTATTTAAGGTATTGTACATAGGCTAATATAGCCGACTGTGCATCACACTCACATGTTAGTAACCAATACAAGTTTTAATAGTTTATACTTGGCAATTTACATACATTACGCTCTTTCTTAACTGATTCTTCCAGCTGAGATGCAAGTTGTGAACAACATACCAAGAATGAATTCATACCATCCCCAACCTATTGAAAAGATAAAAAAAAAAGTAAATTACTTTCTTTCAGAATCTATACTCCTATTCATCTATTTTTTAGTATATATACTACTTTTAGAAAATAATTTTAACTTTCATGTGTAACTTATGTTCCTTCATACATGTAGGATAAAAAAACATGCTTCAGATGCTATATAAGGGTACTTTAAAAAGTTTGTGTGTATACACACACACACACACACACACACACACACACAGACACACTGCTGAAGCCAACACAAAATGTGAAGGTTTTATGGTGCAAAATAGTTTGGAAATCCATGCGTTTTCTTTTCATAATATGTACCTTCCATGATTTTTTAATAGAAGATTTTGCTTTTCGGTGCATGTGCTCTCCCAAAGAGAGAGAGACAGAGACAGAGACGGTGAGAGGGAAAGTGAGAAATTACTCCCCAGAAAGGATGGTCATGCCATCATCTCTTCTCCTCCATTCTTTTCCCAGGATCTTGAGCATATACACATATGCACCCAGCATGAGTTTCAAGCCACCAGATCCAGGACTCGAACTGCAGTCAGCCATGGGGAAGTTCAGAAACATAACCTCTATGCTACCTAGTGGCCCCTCCATTAATTTTTTAAAGACCTCTCATTCTAGCAAATTCCTGGACCTGGTGGCTTAAAACTCACGCCGGGCACGTGTGCGTGTGTGCCCAAGAGCCTGAGAGGAGAATGGAGGAGAAGGGATTGCAGCGTGACCATCCCCCCTGGGGGGTGATTTCTCACTTTCTGTCTCTCTAATGTCTCTCTTTGTCCGTCTGGTGAGTGCACGCGCCCTATAGTGAAAATCTCTAAAAAAAAAAAAAAAAAGGGTTGGTGAACTTGAAGAAAGGGTAGTATATAGTGTCCAAACTACAACAAAAGAAAAAAATTGAAATAAAATTTAAAAGATTTATTGCACAGTATGAAGTAGTCTAATATATATCATTGAAGTGCCATTTTAAAAGGGGGAAAAGGCAGTAAAATATCTGAAAAAATAATGAATTTCCCAAATACTGGGGGGTTGGGGGATTAACCCATAGACTCAGCTTGGTGGACGCCAAGCAGAAAACCTCACCTAGAAATATCTTACCAAACTGCTGAAAACTAAAGATAAAAAAGAAAAGTCTTAAAAACAGCCAGGGAGGGACCAGCAGTTGGTGCAATGGCTATGTCAGTGGACTCCCATGTAGTCGACTGCAGTTCGAGTCCCAGAACCAGTGGCTTAAACTCATGCCAGGCACGTATGTGTGTGTGCCCAACATCCAGAGAAGAATAGAGGAGAAGGGATTGCAGTGTGGCCATTTTTTCCAGGAAAAGGGCCAGCAGATGGTGTATTGGTATTGGTATGTGACTGGACTCCCACATGGCTGATCACAGTTTGAGTCCCAGACCCAGAAGCTTGAAAACTCACACCAAGCACATGCACATGCATGCCCAAGATCCCAAGAGGAAAATGGAGGAGAAGGGATTGTGGTATGGCCATCACCCCCGCAGTGATTTATTGCTTTCTGTCTCTCTGTCTCTCTCCATCTCTCTGGCAAGTGCACACACCCTATAGCAAAAATTTCTCAAAAAAAGAAAGAAAAAGAAAAACAGGGAACCAGCAGTTAGCGTAATGGCTATGTCGCTGGACTCCCACGTAGTCGACCACGGTTCGCGTCCCGGACCCGGTGGCTTAAAACTCATGCCAGACACGTGTGTGTGCATGCCCAAGATCCCAAGACGAGAATGGAGGAGAAGGGATTACGGCATGACCATCCCCCCTGGGGGGTGATTTCTTGCTTTCTGTCTCTATGTCTCTCTCTGTCTGTCTGGTGAGCACACGCGCCCTATAGCGAAAACCTCTCCAAAAATAAAAAAATTAAAAAGCCAGGGAAATAGTGCCAGCAGGTGGCTTGGTGGCTAAGGTAGCTGAATCCTACATGGCCAACTTTGCCATTGGAGTCCAGACATGGTTACTTGAAAAACATACTGTGTGGTGTGCATACCTAAAATTCCAAGGGGAGAATGGAGGCAAAGGGATTGTGGTGTAGTCATCACCACTGGGGAATGAGGGTTATTTCTCACATTCCCTCCCCCTCTCTCTCTCTGTCTCTCTTCAGGGAGAGCATGTATTCTATAGCTAAATAAATAAATAAATAAATAAATAAATAAAGGAAAAGGGGAAAATAGCACAGAAAAGAACAGAACAGGTAGGAGTTAATAGCATTATACTGCTATCAGTTCTCACATTAGTAACAAACTGGTTTAATATTAGTTCAAAATTAATTTAAGCTGTACGAGGGGGCTTCAGAAAGTTCACAGAAATAGAAGTAAGTATGAGTTTATTTTGGCACAAAAATTTTTAAGTCCATGCATAGTTTTTTCAAAATACATTTTTCCATGAATTTTTGGAAGACCCTTTATATATTGAATCCTCAGAGCAAGCACAAAAAATGGAATACCTAAAAAGAAAAAAAAAAGAAATAAAATGAAATACTGAGGGTGAGAGGTATGTAATCAAAGGGAAAAAAAAGAGCAAAATAGATAAGAAACAAGAAATGGAAAATTATTTATTGATAACATATATGGGCCAATATACAGTGTATTCTGGATGGAAAACCTCATTTTGTATACTGTAATGACATACAGTGAATGAGTGTAAAGGTTTTTTAAATAAAATAATTTTAAAAATAAATACAAAAAATATATAATTAACCCAAAATATGACAAAAAGACCAAAAGAACAAATAACTGGGACTAAAAGAAAGCAAATAGCCAGATAGCCAAACCTAATTTATACACGTTCATTAATATTTTATAACAAATTAATTAGATGACATTTAACTTCATCAATGAAGTATAAATTAACTAAACACACCAACTAAAATAAAAAGACTGTCAAGAAAGATATAAAAGCAAGCCTCAACTATATGATGTTTCGAGGAGACACACAGTAAATACACAGGAGAATAGAACAGAAGAAAGGATGAATAAGAGCAGAAGGCATTTAAAAAAAGAAAAACGTTCTAAAAAGGAAACAAAAGGTAAATAAATACCACCAAAGGGTGACCGTTTGAAAGTACGAGTTTTAAAGACATAAGATGAAGTGAATAATCGTAAGAAAGTTGATTATCAAAGTACACTTGAGAACACAGAATTCTATATAAGTTAAAAAATAATTTTGAATCTTTCGTTCTGGCCATGATGGCTCCATTCCTCTAATCCTCTCACAGAACAGTTCTGAAAGGCAGAGGAAGAAGCCAGGAACCTCAGGATGCAATGAACATATGAAGGTGAGGTTCCTTGGGTTTTCTTTTTACCTGCATATACTGAATAGGGCACTAGAAAACTCTGCAACTAACAATAAGCACAGGAAAAAAAAAAAAAATCCTAGAAAAGCCAAAGGACTGTGAAAAGGTCTCTAGGAAAACACAAAATCTTTTTTTTTTTTTTTCACAATACCTACCTTACTTGAGCCAAATACTAAGAAAAATTTTGCGCCACCACTCCATGTATGTTAGTGAGCTGAAGAAAAATGTGACAGTCAAAGTTGGTCCTCTATTAACTCTACCAGAGTTTATCAGTGAGGCTAAATGTTGGTGGAAATTTTTCCACCACTAACCGGCAGAATGGGTGGCCCCCAATTTCCCCACCAGCGTGATGTTGGTGGGGCCAACCAGGCCATTGCACCTGTAACCTTGTCTGGAAGGAGCCATTGAAATGAGGCAAGGATATCTACTCTGACCGTTATTCATCATACTTTAGAATATTGGGAACCATTGCTAGCATAAAAGACCAACACACAAAAATCATATTTCTGTAGGGACCATCAGTTAGCATAATGGCTATGTCACTGGACTCCCATGTAGTTGACCGCTGTTCGAGTCCCGGACCCAGTGGCTTAAACTCACACCGGGCACGTGTGCGTGCGTGCCCAAGATCTTGAGAAAGGAGGAGAAGGGATTGCGGTGGGGCCATCCTCTCGGGGGGGTGATTTCTTGCTTTCTGTCTCTCTGTCTCTCTCTGTCTCTCTGGCGAGCACACAAGCCCTATAGCAAAAACCTCTCAAAAAATTAATAAAAAATCATATTTCTGTATACTAGTAACAAACATGTAGAAACTGAAATTAAAATCATAAGGCCATTGGACCAGCAAGTGGTGTGAGGTTAAGGTTAAGGATCCCACATAGCTGACTACAGTTCGAGTCCCAGACCTAGCAGCTTGAAAATCACACTATGCACATATGTGTGCATGCCCCAAATCCTAAGAAGAGAATGGAGAAGGAATTACAGCATGGCCATACCCACTGGGGTGTGATTTCTCACTTTCTCTCTCTTTCTCTGGCAAACACATCCTACAGCAAAAACTACAAAAGTTTAAAAATAACACTATTAAAAATCATTCCAAAAACATAAAAATATCAATGTATGAATCTAATAAATCATGTACAGGATCTATATGGTGAAAATTTTTTAAATGCTGGTGAAATAAATCAAGTAAGATCTAAATAAATTGAGATATAGCCTGTTCAGAAATTGAAAGATTCAACAGGGGTGTTTTATTACACAGAATCAAATTCAATCTCTAATAAAATCAATTACATAATAAAATATCTTATGTATAGAGTATATTAAGGTATGGCTCAATATTAAGAAAAACATAAAATGACTTACCAAGTTAAAGAACTACATAATTACCTTAAGTTGCATTATTTCAATATTTATAATAAAGACATTTGTTAAAACTCAGTAACCTCTTTTATCTTTTTTAATTCAATAAGCTAGAAATAGAAGAAAACTTTCATAATACTTAATATACATCTCAAACCACCAGACCAAGCCTATACTTAGAAATTAAACCGGACATGCAATAATCTATAAAGGAGTCTTAAGATATAGATATGTTTCAATTAAACAAAGAAAGGTATTGACAGAGGATGGAGAAATCAACATATTACTTTCCAAGTCTCCTAACAGGATCATGTTCATGGATGGGGAATTCACCTATAATAAAATCTTAGCTCTTTTTAGTGTTACTATCTCTATATTACGGTTACATATACGTACAGATAAAGGTAATTCTTCATTTTCAGACTTTATGATTGGCATTACTCCATTTTCAATATTAAGTCCATAGATATCTTCAAAAGTGGAAACAACCTGTAAAAGAACCAAACACTTTCATAGTTTAAAATTAATTATATTAAATGTAAGAGATAATCAATTATGCCAGCATCTTTTTAGCATAAGACTTATTTCTTTCACTGCCATACACTTTAATTTGCCACCCCATGCCTGATAGCGTATCATGAAGAAACCATAAGAGTAGTCCTTGACCCTACTCCCTAGCAATAGAGAGATGCTCTATGACTCTATCATTTTTATGTTAGCAGGTAGCTAAAAGTGAAAGAATATGTCCATTAAGCAGTTTTATCAAAGTCTCTAAATCAGACTGCCTTTACTTTCATCTCTGAAGAGAACATGGAAAATACAAAGATGAAGATCAGAAAGCTATGAATTTTTAAAGGAAATTCTCTGAGCTAACCTCTTCAACTATGAATACACTCTTGTAATTTGAAAATATATATATATATTCTTTTTAATTATGTTCTTCTGCATTGTTCTCACTTGATATGTGGTTCATTTACAATTCAATTCTGGATCATTGTGCGGGGCAGGGGCTAGGGGGGACATGGAGAAAAAGGATTTTTTTCCAATACTACAAGTCAAAGCTTTTAAAGTACAGATAAGAGCTCACATTACAAGCATGAGACTTAGAAAGGCTATCATCCTTAGAAAGGCTCATTTGCAAGGTTAGTCCTAACCTGGTCTCTGAGAAACTAGATTTCAAGGACAGTTTCTTTTCTTTCTTTCTTTCTTACTTTTAATTATTATTATTTATACATTCAATCGGTGTACATCACTTAGATTGTGTCAAGTACAATTTCTATTATTCACTGATACAAGTGGCTCATTATCCCTAAACTGTGCAAACAATGCTATTTATGCTAAATACCTTTTTGCCTTGTGAAAGTCTAAAATTTTGGTACATTCTAAGCATAGGATACCTAGGTAGTTAACCCCCAGTAAAACTCTGGGCACGAGTTTCTGATTTCCTTGGTGGATATTTCACGTGTTGCTACATTCATTGCTAGAAGAATTAAGCATGTCTTATGTGATTCGAAGGGAAAAGACTCTTGCAGTCTTGAGCTTGGTTTCCTCCAGATTTCACTCCATGTGCACACTAATAAATCTCAGTCATCAGTATGGCTAAATGCTGACTCCTGCAAGTACTCCTAGCAAATCACCCAAACCTGGAGGTAGTGACGTTCCAACACGGGCACCAAGTGTCTTACCATCTTCAAATGTTTGGTAATTTTCCTGATCATTTCATCTTCTGCTATTAACTCTTTTGTCTTACTCGATGGAATAGGCAAAGCATATCGCACAACGGATTCTCCTGTTGGTGGCGATCTTAAGACCATTGGCTCCATTTTATCACGTACTAATTTTGCACTATGTTTTTCCTTCAGCTTAGGTGACAAAGGTCCTTTTTTATAAGTCGATTCTTGAACACTTGCCAATTTGTTACTAGAGGCTGACAGATGCTGTGCTGGCTTCATTTTGTTTTGGACTTAGTTTCCAAATTATAGATGAAAAACCTTTATTCCTCCCTGTGAATTATGAGATTGAGAGAAAACACACAATTTAATTAATCAACAATAATATAGTTAGTCTAATTAAATTCACATACTGCATTTCCATTTTCTCTTATTCTGATACTTTAACATGAAGTACACCAAGCAATTTCTGGAAGCTAATTACACTTCTGGCTCTTTTGAATTACAAAATAAAGAAAATTAGAATGCAGTATCAAAGTATCTATATCAAGAATTTATTTAAACCTAAGGATAATAATAATAATAGTAAAAGCTTCATCATTTTTAAACTGAGGTATGCCCTTTATATACATCACTATTCTCATTTTACATGCAAGGAAACTAAGCTCAGAGAAGTTAAGGGACGAACCAAGAGTCACACAGGTAGAGTTAAAGCTAGAATCTTAGCATAGGTCAATTTGGCTATAAATCTTCTTTTCTATACCATCTATTTTCAATATAAAAAATGTTGACTTTTGGGACCAGCAAGTGGCATAGTAGTTAAGGCACTGGACTCCCACTTGGCCAACTGCAGTTTGAGTACTGGACCTAGCTGCTTGAAACTTACACTAGGCACATGTGCATGCATGCCAAAAATCCCAAGAGGAGAATGAAGAAGAAGGGACTGTGGCATAGCCATCTTCCCTGGGCAGTGATTTCTCACTTTCTCTCTGTCTCTCTCTGTGTCTCCTGCAAGTACACATAGGCTATAGCAAAACTCTCAAAAAAAATGTATTTTATATCTACAGGATTTATAGCACTTCCTGTAAGTGAAAGAGGAAATAGTTGAAAACATTACAGATTTAAAATAATGGCAGGATTATCAATTACTACAAAGATGGTGAATCTACTCTGGAGAACTTATCAAAAGAAAAAAAAAGGGAAACATTCCTTAAAATACATAGAAACAATTTTTTCTTTTTTCTTTTTCTTTTTTTTAAGTTTGCTATAGGGCACTTTCCAGAAAGAGAGACAGAGAAAGAGAAGGAAAGTGAGAAATCACCCCAGGGGTCACAGCCATGCCACAATCCCTTTTCCTCCATTCTCCTTTCAGGATTTAGGGTATACACACACACACACATGGAATGTTTTCCAAGCTAATAGGTCTAGGACATAAACCACTCATTTGGCCATGTGGGATCTAGTCACATTAACCCCCATGCCACCTGCTGGTCCTCCCAAAATTTTTAAATGCCAACAACAAAAAAGGCTGTGAGAAACCCCTGACCAAAGGCTTTTAGGATAGATATATATGCAGAGAGAAAAGAGAGAAGAGAAATAGTGAGAGAATATATTTGAAAAACATGCATTCATTTCTTATCTTTCCCCTATATATGAACTAATATACGTCCTTAATATACATTATTATTCCACAGAGCAATAGCCTCAGCTCCAGACATCATCAGGGTAACATGAGGCAACACCAAAGCTATGATAGGAGATAAGGATACATGGACTGAAGTCCTTAGGCTTCCATTCCTCTGTTTCTGTTTTCATCAAAAATGTATGGATTGAAACTCCGGACAACGCCTCCTCCCAAAGAGTTCAAAAGTATATGACCATGGAAACTGTCAGGTAGAGCAGCAAAATCAAGATAGAATAATATTGGTTATCTTCTCCATAGCTTTCCACACTTATCGCATCCCACTGTTGTGAGTTGAACAGTGTGTCCCAAAAAAAGATACCCCTGGCACCCATGAATGTGATCTTATTTGAAAACAGGGTCTTTTAAGATATAATCAAGTTAAAATAAGGTCATACTGGGTAGGTTGGGCCCAAATCTAACAACTGATGTCACTGTAAGAAGGCTATGTGGTGACAGAGACAGAGACTAGAGAGACACAACTGCAAGTCAAGGAACATCAAAAATTGCAGCATTCACTAGAAGCTTGAAAGAAACAATGAAGGATTATTCCCTAAAGCCTCAGTAGGAGCATGGTTTTGCCAACATCTTGATTTCAGACTTAAAGTCTCTAGAACTGACAGAATAAATTCCTGTGGTTTTTAAGCCACCCTGTTTGTGGCACTTTGCTACAACAACCCTAGTGTCTTAGTCCACTCAAGCTCCTATAACTTGCAGCTTCTAAACAATGAACATCTATTTCTTATACGGTCAGAGACTGGAAAGTCCAACATCAAGGTACTAACAGATTTGATGTCTGCTGAAAGCCAACACATCAAATAGATGCTGCCTCTTTCTGAATCCTCACAGGATAGAAGGAACAAGAGAGTCTTTTGGGCCTCTTCTATAAGAGTACTAGCCCCATTTGCTGAGGTTATAATCCTCATGAGCTAATCACCTCCCATCACTCACTACCACCACTTTAGGGATTAGGATTTCAATGTATGAATTTCTTAGGAACACAAACATGCAGGCCACAGAAAGCATCCAACACTTACAAAACAAATATACCCATATAATTTATTAAACTTCCCGGTTGGGACAGAGATGGAAACTGGCTTTTGACCATTTCCTAATAATACATTACTAGATAGAGTAGCTGACATCCCAAGGATATATGAGCTCACAGACCAAAACAACCTTACACCTGAAAAACATAACCATTAAAAAAAAAAAATCTATGTCCCACTTGCAGGATTATTAGAACACAGAAACAAAAAATACACACACACAGAGAATATGAGTGGCAGTAAACAGTATTTTGTTTTGTTTTTTTCAAAGACCCAACTAAAAATATTAAGAATAAAAATGCAATGGACAAAATAAAATAACTGATCACAGAATAATATGTTAAGAATGAATTATTGAAATTAAAGATCGGGGGCTAGCAGGTGATGTAGTAAAGGGGATGTAGTGGTTAAGGTGCCGGACTCCAACGTGGCTGACCATGGTTCAAGTCATGGACCTGGTGGCTTGAAACTCACGCATGTGTGTGTGTGTGCCCAAAATTCTGAGAGAATAGAGGAGTGGTATTATAGCATGGTCACCCCCCCAGTGGAGGAGGGAGATGATTTCTCCCTTTCTGTCTGACTGAACAAGCACTCTACTGCAAAAATCTCTCTTAAAAAAAAAAAAAAAAAAAAAAAAAAAAAAAGATCAGATTTGGGACCAGCAGTTAGTGTAATGGATATGTCGCTGGATTCCCATGTAGTCAACCACGGTTCAAGTCCCGAACCCAGTGGCTTAAACTCATGTCGGGCGCATGTGCGTGCTCAAGATCCCGAGAGGAGAATGGAGAAAGGACTGCGGCATGGCCATCCCCCCTGGGGGGTGATTTCTCACTTTCTGTCTCTCTGTCTCTCTCTGTCTTTCTGGCTAGCGCACACACCCGATAGCAAAAACCTTTCCAAAAAAAAAAAGACCAGATTGAGATGTTCTGCCAGAATGCATCCGAAAAGACAAAAGAAAAAAATGGAAGGTGCAGCCATGGTGATATGCACTGCCATGACGCTGTTCTCCAAACACTGGAGAAGGAAGGCTCAGGTTTCATTCTCAGAGCAAGCTCAAGATTGGGCATGGTGGCATACACCTGTAATCTCAGCAACTCAGGATGGCTGAGGTAGGACGACAGAAAGCCTAAGGCTGACCTAGGCAACATGGCAAAAGCCTGTCTTGAAAAGAGCCAAGCATGGAGGCATGTGCCTGCTGGGAAGTTAAGGCAGGAGGATAACAATAATGAGACTCTATCTTAAAAAGAGAGAGAAGGGACAGGAGGATAACAATAATGAGACTCTATCTTAAAAAGAGAGAGAAGGGACCAGCAGTTGGCATAATGGCTATGTTGCTATACTCTCATGTACACGACCGCGGTTCAAATCCTGGACCTGGTGGCTTAAACTCACGCCAGGCTCATGTGCGTGCATGCCCAAGATCCCGAGAGGAGAATGGAGGAGAAGGGATTGCAATGTGGCCATCCCCCCTGGGGGGTGATTTCTCGCTTTCTGTCTCTGTCTCTGTCTTTCTGGCCAGCACACATGCCCTGTAGCAAAAATCTCTCTCTCAAAAAAAAAAAAAAAAGAAAAAAAAAAAAAAA